GGCGTCCGTGTCGTCTGGAAGGTAGGGAAACAAACTGTTAGCTGTGTGACCTCAGGCAGCCTACTCAACCATCCTCAGCCTCAGTTTCCTCTTTTTAAAGAAAAGGCAGTAACAACTAAAGGGGTGAAGATTAATAATATGATGACAGCTAGTCCAGCTAGTGCCAGGCATGCTTATCAGGGACAGCTCTGATTCTATGATCATATGGGGACACAAGCAGAGGAAAATGTGAGCTTGAAGAAAAAGGACTACGACTTATTGAAGTTTGCCACGTCCTCTTTGTTTAAGCAGGATGAGATATTTCAGGAGAGAACTTCTTGAGGAAGAAACAGTTCTTCAAAGGTCATAGGTCTTTCAGTTTTACTTCCATTCCCTTTCCTGGCTTCCCAGTGCTCTTGGAATAAAATCCAGTCTTCGTAGGGCTCACCAGATCCTGCCAGCCACGTTCAGCAATTTTATTTTTATTCTAAGAGATATTGGGAGTTTTAGGCAGGGCCCTGATGTATTCAGACTTGACTTTTGAAAGGATCAATGTGACCGAGACGTGATTGCCTGCGCTTCTGCTGGAATGGTAGCTCTGTAAACACAGACTTCGCTTTCTTTACAGTTATGTCCTTGGCATGCGGAAAAAATGCCAGGCACTTAACACAGTAGGCCTGCATTCTGTTGGTTGAACGCATATTGAACCTCTCTGCATTGAAAGCAAGACTAAAAATAGCCATTTCATTGTGTTACTAGGAGAATGGAATGAGATAATGGATGTGAAGTGCCTGGCACACAGGAATCACATACTCATTTTTTATCCAGTATTTAATGAGCATCTACTATGTGCTAGGCATGGTTCAAGGCCCTAGGGATATACCAGTGGGGTGTAGGGGTGGGGCTTGGCCACTTCCTGTAGGAAAGGAGGCCCTTGTGGTGCAGGACAGAGAGGTGGGGGGAGATGGGGAGGTAGGAGCTGAGGTTGGAGATCTAAGCAGGGGAGCTGGGCCTGAGGGGGGGCCATGTATCTGTGGGTAAGGACGAAGTCCCTAGAGGCAGGGGCTGGATTTAGACTCCCAGTGCTGCTGCTTATCAACAGTGGGACTTGGGAGACCTACTTAATCCCTCTGTGCCCTCTGCATCTGAAAAATGGAAAAATATAGGTCCTACCTCACAGGGTTGTTAGGAGGGGTGAAGGAGTTACAAAGTGGAAAGCACACACTGAGAGCTCAGGAAGTGTTCCCGTTTATCTCGGTGTGCTGGCCCTGCATTTGGCATAGAATTTTTTTGAAATATCAGTGCTCTAGTCCACCCAACCCATGCCCAGGCAGAGAAATGCAGGAGGCACTTCTGGGTGTGAGTTTGGACAAGTCTCCACTCGTAATGGAGTTAACCGTCTGGTTCAGATCAAAAAATAAAATAAAATAAAATTCCTAACCAACCAACTACACAAACCACTCTCTACACCATTTATCTCATCTGAAAAGGGGAGACGGAAGGAAAGGAGAAAAGTGAGGTCAAAGACTCTGAATGTTCTTCCTAGCAAACTGCAGAACCTCTGGAGTTTCAGGTCTAATGGAAATGTTGTCGGGGGAGCTGAGAAAATAGAGTGCCAGGTATATTCAAAGATGAGCCCTAAACACAAGTGAGCCCTGTGCAGAGTTGATACTCAGTATTCATGACAACAGTCATCATAAAAACAACCCTGTGCTTCCCCTGTGGTATGACATGGGGCAACCCAACCACCCAATGGCGGGGCCAAGTAGAGGTTATCATCCCCATTTTACAGATGAGGAAACTGAGCCAAGACCCCAGTGTCTGGCCTGAAGACCCAAATTTCATTTCCCTTCCCACTGGACCTCACTGTGGCTGATTTCTGTGTATCATTCTTCAATTCCATATTCATTTGTTTTGAACACTTATTGATCACTGCTGTAGGCAGACATCATGCTAAGGCTCAGGGATGCGGCAGAGAACAAGACTCAGTGTCAACTACGTTTGTGGAGTTTAGAGTCCAGTGGGAGGAGGCCAGGCAGTAACCAACAATTACTATGATGGGTAATGAGTATAACTGCATGGGTTTGAGCTCTGGGGGTACCTGGCAGGGAGGGGTGCATGAGCTAATGTCAGTGGCTAACCCATCTCTCTACCCACCCTTTCTTCTCCATCCACATTCCCTTCCCGAAGCTCATCCAATTCCACGATATTAAATATCCATCAGTGGTGGAGGATTGTGGGAGGAGAATGTCTGAGAGTGGAATCTAGAATTCATTCCTGAGATGGAGTAGGCAGTTGGAAATATGTTTTTTTTAATTTAATTTAATTTATTTTCCCACCAAAACCCCCAGTAGATAGTTGTATGTCATAGTTGCACATCCTTCCAGTTGCTGTATGTGGGACGCGGCCTCAGCATGGCCGGAGAAGTGGTGCATCTGTGCGCGCCCGGGATCCGAACCCGGGCCGCCAGCAGCGGAGCGCGCGCACCCAACCGCTAAGCCACGGGGCCGGCCCTGGAAATATGTTTTGAGGGAGAGGTCTGTGTGGGAAATATATAAATTTAGGAGCCCTCAACATATAGGTGCTATTTTGAGCCATTGGGCTGGATGAAATCACCTGGGGAATGAATAAGGGAGAGAAGACAAGGCACCAGCATGGGCCCCTGGGGCCTTTCAAAGTCCGGAGGTCAGGGAGAGGAGAAAGAACTAGCAACACGAGGACCGTGAAGGGGCAGCCAGTGCAGACTGGGGGAATCAGGAGGACGAGGTGTCCCGAATGGAGGGAAAAGTGTTTCATGGAAGAGGAAGGGGCTGACTCTATCAAGAGCTGCAGGTGTGGCAAATAAAGTGAGGATGGAGAATTGACCATCTCCGAAATCCTACCGCAACTAGAGTCAGAAACCAGTCCTCGGGCCGCCCCGTGGCTTAGCGGTTAAGTGCGCGCGCTCCGCTGCTGGCGGCCCGGGTTCGGATCCCGGGCGCGCACCCACGCACCGCTTCTCCGGCCATGCTGAGGCCGCGTCCCACATACAGCAACTAGAAGGATGTGCAGCTATGACATGCAACTATCTGCTGGGGCTTTGGGGGAAATAAATAAATAAAATCTTTAAAAAAAAAAAAAGAAAGAAACCAGTCCTTGCCACTGTCTTGACAAGGACCTGCCTTATTTCCGTGCTCCCCTGTCCTCACTCGCTGGGCCCCAGATGCACCCGCCTCCTTGCAGTTCTTTTCCCCAGCCAGGCTCTCTTGTGCTCTGAGCCTTCTCACCCTCTGCTCCCCGTCTTAGTATGCCCTGCCACCTGACTTCCTGGAGGTTGCTGCTCCTCAGGGAGCCCCAATTAAAGCAGCAGGCACCTCCCCGTCTCCAGTGACCCTCATTTGCAAATATAGCTATCTGTGTGTTGTCTGTCTCCCTCTAGAAGATAAACTCCAAAAGGACCGGATTTTGTGTGCTACTTAGTGTAGGCTCTGTCTTCCCGTGCCTAGAACAGTGCCAGCCCCCCAAAATCTGGCCTTACTACTTTGCGCAGTGTCTTATTTAATTCTCCAAAGAATCTTATACAAAAATATTTATTATTTACATAAATAATTATATGTATTTCTTCTTTTTCCAGTTTTATCGAGCTATAATTGACATATATCACTGTATAACTTTAAGGTGTACAACATAACGATTTGATATATGTAAATATTGCAAAATGATCACCACAATTAGTTAACACCCATCACCTCACATAGTTACAAATTTTTTTCCTTGTGATGAGAACTTTTAAGATTTTCTTCTTCCTTTTCCTCTTCCTCTTCTTATTTATCATCATCACCCCATTTTGTGGATGAGGAAACTGATACGCAGAGAGTAAACGATATTCTAGGATTAATGTAGTTTTCGGGGGGTAGAACACTACTTGAGCTCAAGCGGTTGGAGAGAACGCTCTGGCGCCTTGTCAGAGGGCACCCCCAGAGAGCATGGGTTTAACCACTTTCAGGAGGAACAGAAGCTGATTTCCTGAACGAGTGGGAAGGGAAGCGAGTACGAGGCAAAGACAACCACAGGTCTGAAGGCTCCGGGCCAGAGACAAGGCCTGATGGCTGAAGCTTAGAACTCTAAGTGAAGGGCTTGCCAAGACTTGAGGCTGGAGAGTTAGGCCCGGCCAGATCTTCAGGGCTGGTGAGGCAGGCTCCGCAGTTTGTTCTTTTTTCCTGAGGCAATAGGGAGCCATTAAGCAGGGCGGTGACATGATCTGATTTACACTGTAAAAGATCTCTTGGGCTATGGGTGGAGAATGGAAGGCAAACCTAGAAAGGAAGAACCTTGGAGAAACCTGGCATACTCAATATATTTAGAGGCGAGAGTAAGAGGTCTTGGTGGGGCTGCGGAGCCGGCTTGTGTTAGAGATGAAGTGGGCAAAGTTGAGATATATTAAGATAGAAATGACACTGTATAGGGTTTGCTGATGGATTAAAGGTGCGTGCGTGTGTGTGTGTGAGGGGGCTGGAGATGAGATTATCATAATGTGACGTCTAGGTTTTGGCTTAAATGGGTGTAAGAAGATGGTTCCATTTATTGAGATGAGGATGGAGATCGGATTTCAATAACTGTTACCTTCCTCTTTGCCTGCCTCTCCTCATCCCCAACTCCCCATTTGGAATATCAGATGAGCGCAAAAAGCTTTAAAGAGATGCTCCAAAAGTTTTGTGACACATGTAATTTTTTAAAGAAAATTTACATTTACATTTTGAGTGAAGTCAACCTTGGAAAACCATCTAGAATAGTAGGGGAAGACATAAATAAGTTGCGCTTGAAAAGGGGGGAGGGCACTCATCAAACTTGCTAAGGGGACAAACAGTTAAAGTGTTCTTCACACATTATCAAGATTGATTAATTTAATCAAGTTGGGATTGTATCTAAACCTCTATTTAAATTGGGCCTTATTCTTGGCCCCTCCCTTTTTGGTTTGCTTGTAAAAACCAGCAATCACATCTCTTCCAGTATTGTTTCGAGCCAGGTGGACTGGCAAACTCAGAGAGAGAGTCTCCAGGTTCCAGGCACTGCCTCCACTTCTGAAAGGTAATTTCTGCTATTTATTTTTATCCTATATTATTATATGTTTTATGGAGGGTTTAAAATTGTGAGATGAATTGAGTGGGATCACGAAACTTAGAAAAGAGAGAAGTGTGGGGTTTCCTGGAGTTGTTAGAGATCCCTACTTAATTTAGTGCATTCAGTCGTGTTAAAAGGGCTGTCCTGGTTCCTTCTCAAATGTCCTTTGTAGTTTGCAAAAGCTGGCAGGTTTGCCTAACTTTTTCCTTTTCTTTTCCTGCTAACTCCTCACTGCAGTTTTTCAGGTTTTCTTGCTCTGAACACTGAATTCTTTTAAGTCGAGTATCTGTGTTGGCTTCATTTCAGCTCCAGGGACTTACATACAGTTTCCAAATCGTTTTTCTGTAATAGTTCCACAGTAAAATGAATACTTGCGAAATAAGAAGATCGTATTGTGTTCTGTTCTTCTAATTAAGGCTAAGTCTCAAAAGATGATTCCAATAAATGTTAAATATAGCAAATGAGAAGGGTTTTTTGTTTTGTTATTAGATCTGAGACTGCTGTGGCAGGCAGGATCTGGAGAGAAAAATCAGAAGTTAGCTGAACGAAGAGGTCTCATCTCACTAGGATTAAATCAGAGATAATGGTGCGATGTTGTAAGCATACACTAGGAAATATATCTTAAGGAGGGCTGGTCTGTTTGGATAATTGTGAAAATGAGGTGTAGCTGATGTTTGTCACATTAGAAAGAGGTGAAGTGGGGCTTTTTCCCCCTTTCCCCGAGTAACATATGCAGAGCACCAGCTCACATTTGAAGGGACATTTCTGGTTCCATTCTTTCTTTGTGTTGCCTGCGTCTCTGCAGCACCTGACTCCTTGAGAGATAGTCTAGCTAGGGGGTGATGGCAAAACAGGATTGCGTGTGGGTGGAGCTAAGTATACATAGACCAACGTTCGATTTTCAATTTTCATTTTATACAATAATAATATGAGTTCTTAGCTTTTACTACAAAACAAAATATTTCAGTGTTCTCTTGTTACGTTTGAAGTTTCCATTTGTAATTGTTTTAACTATACATGCTTTCCAAATAAATCTTAAGTATGAGTCTCCACCTTCAAAAGGGAGATGTGTCTCAGAGAAACCCTTACAGCGAATTCAAATCCTCTTATGTCCATTTAAAAACGCAGTGTGTGTTTGCAACCCAGCGCTCAGTCACTGGCAGAATTTTGCAACGATTTCCCAGTTTTGTTGGCTCATCTCCAGGAATAAGGTTCTTTGTAATTCTTTGCTCAAACATAAGGATCACATATAAAACTCTTAGCAGATCGATCTGTTAATACAATTATCTTTCAATTTTAAAAGCTACAACATAATAAGGTTTTTTGGGGGCAGGGGGAGAGAGAAAACAGTGACTAACAAACCATATGATGCTATTATGCTAACAGTGGTAGCTTTGTGAGCGCATAGAGAAAAGAAAAGCACAACCGTTTTTGCTCAGAAAATAATTCAGTAGCAACAAGGTCTGAGAGCCAGGAGCCTTACTGTTCTTAGTGAAACGATTATTTGTCAAAACATTTGATTGTTTTCCTATTCCTTCTGAAAAGTTTGGACTTTTCTTTTTTGCTCAATTTTGACACTAGGATTTTTAACTATCAGTGCTATTGTGTTTACAGCATTCAAGGTTTCAGAGTTCAAAGGTTATCCATTAACATGTAGAGTGAGGCTACCCTTATGTTAAGACTCAACCTGGTCCCATTTGTTCATAGTTTCTTTGTTTTGTAGCCCTGCTCCAAGCCCTTTTGATAAGTTAAATGAAGTTTCTTGTTTATGAAGAGTTTATTTTTGGACTGTGTTTTAGGATGTGGCTACTTACAAGGCTTTAACAAATATTTTAAAGAAAGGTATTCATCTTAACCTGAGAAAAGGAAAACTACTACTAGAAATGATCAATATCAGTGTTCTTGAGTAAAAAAAGAGTGCTGGCCTAAGAGTCTACTTCTGGCACTGCTAATTAATTAAGTGTGAGTAAGTAATTGGTTCACTTCCTTTTTAAAAAAGACTAACCAGACCATATGTGGGGTTAGTAGTTAAATATAAAATGACAGCAAAACATCACACTTGGCAAATTCTTCCCCTTTGCTAAGAAGCTGTCTTTCAAATTCCATTTCCTATTTATTAAGGATTGCATTGCTCACTAGTGGAGCATTTATGTAGTGCTTCCCCCCACCCCCGGATTTATTAAATATATACTTGAAGTGCCTTTCTTGATGTTTTAAGTTTTTCCATTTTGGATACACCGAAGGCCAATAAAACAAATACTTGGCTATTTTGTTTATGGTGACTTGCATAGCGCCGTTTGTATTTGCATTCGTTTGCATCTTGGGGCAGAAAACTTGGTGGATGTGATTGTTGCTTCTCTGGTCCCTCCTTGGGGTGTACTTAAAATGGGGGAATAGCACAGGCCTTTGGAATCATCATCTTTTCTTTTTTTTGTAAGGAAAAGAACAGTTGGGAAACTAAATGAGTTGGGCGTGGGGAGGAGGGGGCAAGGCTAGTTTTTTTTTTTTGTCCCCAGGTTAAGCCCGCTTCATCCACGTGGATTTCTATCAAAGCCAAGTGAATTCTTGGAACCTAGGCCAAGTTTAGAAATCTCAAGTTATAATAGCAGCACAAGCCCAGCGCTTTCAGAAAAACAGCAGCAATTAAAGGCTAGCTTTATGGAGGCACTAATTAAAAAAACATTTTAATCATCTTATCTCATCGACCTTCCTCACACTTGAAGAAAATCGGAAAGAATGGTGTTTGTGAACCGCCGCCTTCTAACCTACCCAAATGGGGGTGAAGGCTTTTTGTTTGTTGGAAATTCTGGATGATCCAAGAGTTCGGGCTACCAGCCCCTCCCCTCTCCTGGGCACACCTTGCAAGGAGGGGGAGGCGGCGAGGCAGAGGCCTGGA